AAAATTGAAAACGAGCCGCTGCAGGTAAATTCGGTGGTCGGCCGTATTTGCCGCTAACAGCTATAATTTGGCGCCGGATAAAAGGGCGGAATCGTTCGGGAAATACTCCTTTCTTGTGCGGCGGCTATCTTTTGAAAATCGAATCAATAACAATGAGCAAAGCCGGCCATGCGAAAGTCAGATCGCGATTGAGTTTTCTACTCGATTACTACGAAGCGGACCACCCATCGCGATTTCTCTCTCGCGACTGAACAGTTTATACCGCCCGCGGATGCGTTTCAATCGCGCTATATTCCAGACATGCTCCTCTCGTAATATATTAGATCGAGCTAAGTATATATATTTTAAGTAATGAAATAATTTTCACTTCTAATACATTATTTTATCTGGGATGAGAAAGCGGTGAGGAAGGAGGGAGGAAAAACGAAAGAAAGAGAGAGAGAGAGAGAGAATATAAATTTTGCGTCACTCTCGCATGGACTTTTTTCTAAATGAAACAAATTTGTTCCGCAGCAAAAGCATAACCATTATTGTTGTTACAGTTATTATTACTCTTATTTCTTCTTTTAATATTCTTTTCCTTTAGTTTACTCTCGTCATAGAGCCACTATATAGTTTGTTGGAAATGAAAATTAGCTTTTTACTACATTAATCGTTAATGTTCGATAAATTTTCATGGCGGTTTACCGTTAATTCCAGGAATTTCGTCCAGTGGACGGAAATGAGATCATTTTCAGATTGCATATATTTAAGGATTGTCTCTACGAGCGCGTGCGTGCATGGATTTACTTGCGACATCGCCGTTTCGCGACAGTTTATTCTCTCATTTGGGTAATTAGCTATCGTATTGGTTGAGAATATGCACTCAATCGCGAAATGAAATTGTTACATCGGATAATTCGCTCAAATTCACGCAGTGCAGCGTCATACAGCTTGCGTGACACATCGTGTCTCGAACGGACAGATTCCGCTGTAATTTTAATCTCTCATTATCCTGATCCTTTCTTCGAGCGACAATTTGTCTTCGCTACGAGTCGTCGTTTGCGCGAAGCGAAGATTACATCAAGATCGACTAACGGCTAGCGATTTCGTACTATTAAATTAGGAAAGAGTCGGGCATTCACCAGCGAGACAGTCGTCCGCTAATCATACAATTTTTCGATATTCGCGCGAGTCTCTCTCGCGAACTTTCAGTGCCACAGAGGAAAATCAAATATTCCTCTAAAAGTATACGCGAAACTGCATTATATCACGTCGCTCGGCGCGTCGCTCTCGCGATCTTCGATTCGCGATTGCATAAAATACACACCCCGCCACACGTTTTTCCCCTCGCGGTTTACCTGTTGACCCCATAGACATAGGAATATAGGGACAAAGCATAAGCCCGTAAGATAGACGAGGGGAGTTGTGCTGAAATGCGGGGGGGGGGCGACTGTGCCTAAGTTTCATTGGCTACAATAATGCGCATATTCAGAGTGTGTGATGCAACGACTTGGCTGTCACTGGCAAATGTAACAAAATGATAAGAACTATTTATACTGACAGTATTTTGCAGAGGTTATGCATGTGTCTTTCACTCACACACAACTTCATACACATCTATGTATGTATCAAATACTTACACACGGTACAACCACCAATTAGATTTAGGCACAGTTTACCTCGTCGCACCATCCCGCAATGGTTATCCCCCGGCAACTCTATACTCTGTCCCTATATTCCTATGGTTGACCCTCCTTGATTACTCGAAGGAACGACGATCGTGTGCAACGTCTATATATTTCTCCCCTCCCCTCTTTTTTATTTTCTATATTGTTATTCGTGTTTTTTCGTCGGAAGAAAATATCGCGCTGGTTATAGACGAAAATATCGTGTTGCGCGCGCGTGCATACGTACGCATATGTACGTGCGTGCGTGCGTGCGTGCGTGCGTGCATACGTGCTGCGTGGACGAGCGAGCGAGCGAGCGAGCGAGCGGGCGAGCGGCTGTGTGTATATTTTTTTTATTTCCGCGGCAATCGCTCGATCGCAGGCGTGTCGCATTCTGACGCATGAAAATGGCCCAAAGGGATGCGCCAGCCATGATCGATGCTCCATCCGATCGGAGTCTACCGAAACTGCCCGTCAAATAATATATTCATAGCTTCCGGATGGTTGAACGCGACTCTCGGAAACCACCCCCGCGACCCTGCAATCGCGTCTACCCCCGCCAAATCCCTCTCTCGTCCGCGCGTTTCCCTCCTCCCCCCCTTCGCCCCCTCGTCCTCGTCTTCGTCCTCCTCCTCCTCCTCGTCCACCTCTTCGTCCTCCACCTCCTCCTCCTCCTCCTCGTTGCCCCTCACAGTGCGCAGTCCATCCGCACGCAAATCGACTGTCGAATAATTATCGAAAATACACGCGCGGCCGGCTCGCGTCGCTTTATTTTTTTTTTTCGTCGCTCCCTCTTCCGTTCTGTCCTCTGCCTCGCGGACATACGATTAACTCTGAGCTTTTGCCGATGC